AACACATTTGACTGTCATACACACTCGTGAAATCAATGATAACACAGTAAGTTTCTATCTGATGAGAGAACTCTAAAACAACCTACGCAAAGTTTACTTGCGATTCCGCCTTTCAGCGGATTATATCCAAAAACTGATAATATCTTTATACTCCAGGGTTTTTTCTTCTAAGCTTCTCCAGTTTTTACGTATATTTGACAAAACTTTTTTTGTATCACCTATACCCTAAGATAATGATGTCTCAAAATCAAATCAGGAAGATTGTTTTATCATTTCTGATCATTTTTACGTTTATGCATTTACTAATTGCTAACTAAGTCCTTAATCGACCTACTCTTAAAAAACTGTGCTGGCCTGCAACAACAAAAAACTAGGCAAATCTTGCTCAATTCAATTCGAATCATCTTATTTCAAAAGAAAACTTTAACAAGAATGCGCGTATCAAGTCTCGATGCTCTGAATGGCCCGACTGCTTTTTTCAGGTCCATGAAGTAGTGTTTGCATTTAATAAAATGATGAAACTACACAAAATATAATAAATTCAAGCAAAAATTGAGATTTTTTGAAAACTATCTCCCCGCACGCTATGTAAAGTACAAACTTATAAATTTCTCACTTAGCAAAAAGTTCAAAATAACAACAAGCATGCCTCAATGCAATTAAATTTGGAGCGATATTTAAGCCGAATTAGTTTGAAACTTTAACATTACAAAGCTTTAACAAATTTTTATATTTTTTTCGGAGCTACAAACGACTAATTTGACGAGCCGAGAAATGAATGCAAAATTCCTTTCGTATTTTTTCCAAAATAATGTCTCTCACTTGTATTCAGCATATCGTCTCAACGTCAATAAAAATTCAAAATTGCATGCAAAATTGCTCAAAATTGGCAGAATGCTGTCTTTGCTGTCTCTCACTTGTATTCAACATATAAATTAATTTGGTTGTTGTTGCGACTTTCGTAACGAAAGTAACGGAATATTTGATGGGTATTTTTTTCTTCAGACGAACTTCCACTTTTTAACTAGCCATTTTGACGGGATTTTTTTTTATCATTCAAATAAATTGTTGTCCTGAGCTTAAATTTGGTAAGACGTTTCGCCTGTGGTTTTTTAAAAGTAATAGGAGTGTAAAAATGCCATTTTTGCCAATTTGGGACAATTAACGCGCGATATGTTTCGCGCTATTAACGCACAAAAAGTCTTAGAAATTGTTCCAAATTGGTTGAAAAAAAAAAGGTTTGCCATAATTGATTCGTTATTAGGAGCGTTGCCTGTCACTGTATTTTATATGGCGTGTGGGGTGATAATTTTCAAAAAATCTGAAATGTGAAAAAGTTCATTTTATTTTATTACCTTTCACGTTATTACTGCTCCATAGGCTTTAAAATGCAGTCGGGAAATTCAAGGCTTTGCCCTGCTACGAGCAGTCTTGTTATGATTATGATTATCATTCGGTCCTAATTTCTCAGACTAGTCAGATAATGTAACGTTCAAAATAGCAGTTCAATAAGGCTCTACAGTGCCAGAGTGTATTTGACTTTTCGCGACTCTTTATGCGACTTTTGCCACAAGTTGAAAATCGAAACAGCAATTTAAAATCTAATAAGACTCTTAAAAAGTTTGAATTGATTCTTAGAAGATGTAAGACTTTGGTAAAATTTCAGATTCATTCTAACAAGATATAAGATTCTTATAAGATTTTGAACTTTAGTAACACCCGTGTACGACAAATACAAACAAATAGCTGAAACAATGTACCGCTCAAAATCGCTCCAAAATTAGGCGAATTTGGGGGAAACCGCATCCGCATTTGCGGAATCTGGAACAAGTTGTGGGTGGAATCCACAAAAAATAATAAATATAGACAACTTACACCCAACTTCGATCTCAAGTCCTGCCAACTTACAACCAAATTCAAACTCAATTCATCTTAATTCCTGTCAACTGAAGTAAACTACTTCATCGATCTAAATTCCTGCCAAATGAACAATAAACATCTTACGGGACTTTTCCAAGGAACCTCTCACCCATCCATCTCATCCCAAATACGGATGATTTGAAATCACTTTGGGACAAAATGAACCAACTACAAGCCCAAATATTGATTTAACTCTTTGAGAAATCACTGAATCTATTATAATCACAAATATTGATTTGATTCGTTGAAAGTGTTTGTCAAATTGATCCCGAAAAATTTACTTGTTTTTTTGGGATCGATACCAAAGGGTGATATCCACTGATTTAGTTAATCAAAGTTATACAAATTTTCCTGGATACCGTTGACCGAACTGCGCTTTTCCAGTAAATTTTAAGTTTTCTACTGGTGCATCTGCATTCAAATAAATTGTTGTCCTGAGCTTAAATTTGGTAAGACGTTTCGCCTGTGGTTTTTTAAAAGTAATAGGAGTGTAAAAATGCCATTTTGGCCAATTTGGGACAATTAACGCGCGATATGTTTCGCGCTATTAACGCACAAAAAGTCTTAGAAATTGTTCCAAATTGGTTGAAAAAAAAGGTTTGCCATAATTGATTCACTACTAGAAGCGTTGCCTGTCACTGTATTTTATATGGCGTGTGGGGTGATAATTTTCAAAAAATCTGAAATGTTAAAAAGTTCATTTTATTTTATTACCTTTCACGTTATTACTGCTCCATAGGCCTTAAAATGCAGTCGGGAAATTCAGAGCTTCGCCCTGATACGAGCAGTCTTGTTCTGATGAATGCTTTGTGTACTAAATTGATGGTGCTATGTACATCACTCTGTATTCGAATTAGCGTGCGCGGAAAATTCAAAAAAAGCTTGAAAATTTTTTCTTTTTTTCAAACTTTTTATGTCAATTTGTTTAACATTGAACGCCAAATAGAAACAAGACTGCTCGTATCAGGGCAAAGCCTTGAATGTTCCGACTGCCTTTTAAGGGTTTTGTGGAGCAGTAATAACATTAAAAAATTAATTGTATTAAAACAAAATGATTTTTTTCTTCTTTTTATGAAAATAATCCCCCCACACGCCATATAAAGTAGAAAATGATAGATTTCGCTCCTTATAACAAATCAATTATGGCAAATAAACTCCTTTCAACCAATTTGGAACGATTTTAAGACGGATTAACTCTCCGCTTACGCATTAATAGCGCGAAATATATCCCGCGTTAATTGTCCCAAATTGGCCAAAATGACAACCTTTAAACCCCCATAACTTTACGAATAATAATCACTGGTGAAACATTTTTTCAAACTTGAGCTCAGGGCAACAATACCTTTTGAATTATATTTTAAAAAATCCATCAAAAATGGCTAGTTAAAAAGTCGAAATTTGTCTGAAGAAAAAAAAACCCACCCCGAGCACAAATATTCCGTAACTTTCGTATCGAAAGTCGGAAAAACAAGACTGCTCGTATCAGGGCGAATCCCTGATAATGTTACAGTTGCCTTTTAAGGTTTATGGAGCAATATAGCATTAAAAAATTAAATGAAACAAAACAAAACGAAATTTTTTTTCCGTAAATTTTGAACTTATTAATGAAAACTTCCCCCACACGCGAAATAAAATAGAAAAGGATAGATTTCGCTCCTTGTAACAAATCACTTATGGCAATTAAGTTTCTTTCAGCCAATTTGGAAAGATGTATAAGACGGATTAATACTCCGCTTACGCGTTAATAGCGCGAAATATATCGCGCGTTAATTGTTCCAAATCGGCCAAAATGGCAATCTTTAAACCCTCATAACTTTACAAAAAATGATTACAGGTGATATATCTTTTCAAACTTAAGCTCAGGACAACAATACCTTTTGAATGATATAAAAAAAATTCCGTCAAAATTGGCTAGTTAAAAAGTCGAAATTTGTCTGAAGAAAAAAAACTCATCCCGAGCACAAATATTCCGTTACTTTCGTATCGAAAGTCGGAACAAGAAGGCAATGAGAAAACTCAAGGCATTGCTGTTATACGAACATTGTTTTAGTACCGACTTCCGAATAAAGCTTGGGTTGATTTTTTATTTATTCTTTTTTCGATTTTTTGAATAAGGTTTTTGAAACTTTTATAGCATCCAAAGGATATTTTGTAAAACATCTGAAAGAACTTTTTAACTGGGGCTGAAATGAAAAATAAAAAAAAGTCAGCGTGTAACCATTTATTTTAGGTTTTTAAAATTTGTCTCTCTAAAACTAAAAATAATCGATCATTTTTAATTTGGATTATATTGGATGCTTATCTTAGTATTTTCCCTTAGTGATCAATTAAAATCAATATTTTCCTTTTAATTTTCCAAATGTTTTCATAAGGAATATATTCATTTTTCATTCTTGTCTTTTCCATTTCAAACCATATTGCTTCTATTTTTTGAGCTAAATTCTTGTGCTCATAATCTTTTAGAATTTAAGGTAGTGGTTGTCTCACTAATTTTTTTTTAGTTTTCCTTATTTCAATAGCCTTTTTGGATCCACTTAACAATTGCCCTCCCTTTGGTACCTACTAGCGCTAGAACTTTGTATTGAGACTTCTAGTTTTGTTCTAGTCTGATTGGTCGAAAATGCGTTATGTTAATCTACTTAACAATTGCCCCCCCCCCCCCCCCTTTCTTAAAAGGGGGGGGGGGGTAATTGTTAAGTAGGTCCGCCTTTTTGATAAATCACTTGGTTTTGGTTCCATTTTGGGTATTTTTGGCATTAAAAAAATGATTACTCCAAATTAAATTTCTTGCCTAATTTTGTTTAATCGAAAAATAATTGATTATTTTGAATCTGTAGAGTATTTTGAGTAACTAAAGTAGACTATTAAGTAATTGTTTTTTTTCGAAGACACTAGAATTTTACTTTTTAAAAAGCGTTTATGTGGTCTAAAACTGCCGCAGTAATTAGTTTATATTCAAGAAAAGTATACAAATACAAAACAATCAATTTCTACCCAGCAAACTTCGGATCAGCACTCGATTAACGCAGTGAGCGCTTTTAAAAACTAAAGCTATCATTTTTATTGTCAACACCACGTACCTGAACTCTTTTGCCAAAATTTAAAAGATTCAATACAGCACTGTTCAGTAAAGATAGTGACCATTAAGAATAAGTAATTCAATTTCATAACAAAAACTACACTCTATTCCAAACAATTGAAGAGAAAAAAGCTTTGACTTAAATTTTTGAATATACAAAGTTATGATGATCGTTAAAATTTTCTGCCGGTTGCAATGCGTTGAAAAGTGCGAGAACACTTTAGTTTCTAACAAAATAATTGGTTAACGTGTTCAGTATCTAAAAATCATGTGACCTTCAGACTGTACACTGACAATGCATCGAAGCAAAATTGTTAAAAGTGCATTTGAACTGTCAGAAGTTTGATGCAAAAATAGCGTTTTTCTGGAGACGGCATCATTACCAGACCCGGCCTTGTTACAGGAATGAATTTTTTTCATTCAACAACGATCTGCTATGCAATTTTTCAGAGCAGCTAGGAACACGTTAAAGGCGGACAAAACCTACGCGAAAAATTTCAAAGAACTATTTTGATTTAGTTCAAGCTTGAAGGTCAGAATAACAATTTCCGATATTTTGTCAAAAACTATCAAAAGTTGCAAGAAATTTGAATAATCAGAAATTTTTTTCAATCCAATCTGCCAATTTTAGGATTGTTTTGCAGACACTACTGAGGTTTATAGGTGGCCTTGAAAAATACTTAAGTTGATAACTAAATTTTTGCACGCAATAATAGACTAAAATGTGACATTTTCTTCATCAAAATTGTCTGCTCCAAAATTTTTCAGCTCTTTATTTATGGATTTGAACAAAACTATCGGACAGCGTAAAACAGATCGCGAAAATAGTAGAGAGCAGAGAGAAAAATTGAAACAACAAATCTGCACTTTTGAGCAATGTTTGTATGGAAAGTGTGTTGCAAAATTTTCGGACGGACCGAAAAAATAATAAAAAAAAATAGCAAGTTTTGTATGCACAGTCGAATCTCAGGGTGACTTGGGACATGTTTTTTCTCTTACACACTATCTTTTAAATGCAAACATTCTAATATAGGACGTTCGCTCTTTTTAAGTAAATTTTTCCGTTCCAATTTTTCCAGTTTTCTATACTACCTACCTAAATACTTTTCTATACTACTTTTTTTTTCAACTAATTTAAAATAGCTCTTTGAAGTTTCGCGTTTGACGTTTATCGACATTTTTTTTATCTACTTAACAATCTTCCCCTATTGTATCTACTAAACCCCCCCCCCCCACCCTTTCTTGAAGGGGGGGGGGTGATTGTTAAGTAGGTCCGTGTTTTTTGCTCTGAAAAATTGCATAGGAGATCGTTTTTGATCGAAAAAAAATTCATTATTGTCTGGAAATTAGGTTAAAGCGCATTATCTGTTGCATTATCTTTTGACAATTCGATGCAGTTTCGACATATCGATTGCTAGTTAGACGGTTTTTCATTGTCTCAAGGTCAGAACTATTTCAGACGTTCAAGACTTTGTCCCATAAGTTGGTTAAAAGCTATAGTTAATGCCATTTTGTTGCAATATCTTTTTCGGTCAAGAAATCTTCTTTCAATTAGGTAACGAACTAGACGTCTCAGACAGCGCAATCCTGGTGCATTGATCTAATGACAATTCAATGCAGTCTTAACATATCGATAGCTTTTTCGACGGTTTTTCACTGTCTCAAGATCAGAATTATTTCAGAAGCTTAAGTATTTGTGCAATAAATTTGACAAAAGCTAAAGTTAATTCCATTTTGTTGGCAATGTCTTTTCAGTCAACGAATCTGAGCAAAGTTAATTATCCTAAAACTGCTCATTGTGACGCCTAAAATGATTTTTTTTCTTTGAGAACGTTAAAAGCCATATTAAAAATTTAGTTAGCCTAAAATAAACATTTTCGTCCGATAATTTGCAGAAAATCCAAGATTGCCAAAATTTTGGCATTAACTTTTATTAGTAGCAAAATGTTTGGACAGACAAAAATAATTAAAAAGAGCAACTGTCTTGACATCAACGGAAATTAAAACTGAAATAAACATAACGTCGAAAGTTCATAAAGCCGAGTTATGGGATCTACTTAACCACCCCCCTTTCAAGAAAGGGGAGGAGGTCGTTAATAAGATTACTTGCAGCGAACTTTCGACCAATCATAATGCAGCAAAATTCGAATTTAGATACAATGCTCTAGTGCAAATTTACAGTTTTTATTTGCAGGGGCGGAGATTCTTTAGAAGATAACAATTACCCCCAATTGTATCTACTAAAGAATCTCCATCCCTGTAAATAAATGCAGTAGATTCGCACTAGAGCATTGTATGTAAGTTCGAATTTTGCTGCCTTCTGAGTGGTCGAAAGTTCGCTGCAAGTGATCTTATTAACAATCTCCCACCCCCTATTGTGAGTAGATCCGAGTTTCGCTCAAAACCTATAACCACGGCGGGCAATTGCACCCGAAGCGTCGAAATGTTTTATAGTAAAATCTGGATGTTCATCGCAGTGCTTAAAAATAAGGCTGACATAATCATCGGATAATCGACGATCTCGCATTTTGGATTTCGCTGACAAAAAAATTGAGGTTATTCAGCTTCAGATTTTGCATGCAAAATGGCGTGGGAAAGCACTGATTGCTCATTTTAAATAATTCTGTCTGTCCGAACTTTTTGCTACTAATTATAAGACTGCAGTTTAATTGGATTTCGGCTATTCTTCATGGCAGAAGTAAATCAATCAGCAGTAAAATGCTATAATTAAATCAATCAGCACCTAAAAAGCTATATACAGAAGTAAGCAGCTAACTAAATTCGATAATTACTTAACAAGGCTTACAAAAAATGCGTTCAGATATAATTGGTTGCAAAAATTTCGGACAGACAGATTTAACTAAAATGAGCAATCAGTGCTTTTCGACGCTTTTTTGCATGCAAAATCTGAAGCCAAACAACCTTGATTTTCTTGTCAGACGAAATTCAAAATGCAAGATTGTCGATTATCCGATGATTATGCTAGCCTTACTTTTAAATACTGCGATGAACATCCAGATTTTACTATAAAACTGTTAACAACATAAGTCAAAAAATTGAAAGCTTGAGTTATTTTCAACACACAAAAAAAAACAGATTAGGCCGCCCCATAAAAAAAACGGAAGTGAAGATGATCAAATCATTCAAAATTTGGACACATATCGCAGAAAAACACTAGCCACCCTGTGCAAAAATTTTTCTGTTTCAAGGTTAACTAGTCGACGCTTTGGATGCAATTTCCTACGCTTTGGACGTTATAGGTTTTGAGAGAAAACTCTGATTTGTGATCTTTCGAAGTTTTATTAATTTCAGTTTTAACTTCCGTTGATGTCTGGACAGTTGCTCTTTTTTGAATTAATTCTATCTGTCTGAACTTTTTGCAACTCTCTATAGAACGTATGACTCAACGTCAATAAAAATTCAAAATTGCATGCAAAATATCTCAAAATTGGCAGAATGCTCTTTTGAACTAACTCTGTCTGTCCGAACTTTTTGCAATTCTCTTCATAATTGGAAGCGAAAAGTTGGAACAGACAGATATAATCAAGAAAAGCATTCTGCCAAACTATTGCAATTTTTGCAAGCAAATTTGACTTTTAAGGTGACTTTGAGACTTTGTTTGTGTTCGAAAAACTAGCTTTTGCAGGCAAAATTTATCAAAAAAAGTCATTTAGTCTTTTTGCATTTATCTATGATTAGTAACAAAAAGTTCGGAAAGGCGAAAAAAATTAAGAAGAGCATTGCCCTTTTTTATAGATTTTTTGCATGCAAAAGCTAAATTTTCAGTCAAAAGTATGTCTCAAGATCACCTAAAAGTTTAAATTTGCATTCAAAAAATGCTGAAGATTGGCAGATTTCTCTTTTTAATTATTTCTGTCTGTCCGATTTTTTGCAACTCTTTATATCTAGCTTTTAAAAAATTTATCAGACACTGTAATAAATTTCTTAAAAATTCTGACCTACAAATTTAAAGATAATCGAAAAACTTCTTAGAAAGTTCGCGTTTGCCTTTTTGTCGGCTTTTTGCTCTGAAAAAAAATATCCAAAGAGCGCAATCCTTATGCCTTGCTTTTTGGCAGTTCAAACGGCGGTTTCAACTATAAAGTAAAACAAGACGCTCGTATCAGGTCCGACTGCCTCTTAAGGTCTATGGAGCAGAATAACATGGAAAATTTAAATGTGAAAAAAAAAATCAAAACTAAAATTTTTTTTCTAAAAAATTTTGAGATTTTTTTGTGAAAATATCCCCCGCAGGCCAAATTCAGTACAAAGTGATAGATTTTGTTCCTATTAACAAATCAATTATGGCATATAATCTTCCTTGAACAAATTTGGAACGAGTTCTATGACGGATTAAATCTCGCCTACGCGTTAATAGCGCAAAATATATCGCGCGTTAATTGTCCCAAATTGGCCAAAATGGCAATCTTTATACCCCCATAACTTTACGAAAACGTTACGAAAAATGGTCTTTACGATTGAACTTTACGAAAAATGGTCACAGATGAAATATCTTTTCAAATTTAGGCTCAGGACAACAATAGCTTTTGAATGATATTAAAAAAATCCGTCAAAAATTGCTAGTTAAAAAGTCAAAATATATCTGAAGAAAAAAAACCGCCCCGAGCACAAATATTCCGAGCACTAAAGTCAGAACAAAACCTACCACAATTTTTGGTAACACATTTACTCAAATTTGAAGGTTCGTGGTATATTTGTATCATTGAAAACAAACGCACATCAATGAAAACAAATGCGTGGCAGACTCTTGTGGAATTAAATTTAATGTGAGTTTTGGCTTTAAAAAGAACTAAACGTCTTTGTAAAAATGGAAACGTCTCTTTTCGCTCCACTGCTGCTTTTTGTTCCGACTTTCGTATCGAAAATAACGGATTATCTGTGTTTTTTTTAATTAATCGAAAGTTTTTGTTTTCTTAATCTTAATTGAAAAAATATTTCACCTGTGATCATTTTTCGTAAAGTTATGAAAGTTATGGGACTAAGAGATTGCCATTTTGGCCAATTTGGGACAATTAACTCGCGATATGTTTCGCGCTATTAACGCGTAAGCGGAGATTTAAACCGTCTTAGAAATTGTTCCAAATTGGTTGAAAGAAGCTTATTTGCCATAATTGATTTTTTACTAGGAGCGAAATTTATCATTTCGTATTGTATATGGCGTGTGGGGGGATGAACTTCACCA